TTAAAGGATGTGGGTTGCTGCATATGCGTAAGTGATGCTCATAAAGATAGAGGAGGTAAGTGGTGTTGTTCCCCATGCATAGACTGGAGCACTAGAGCCAAATCTTATCTTCATTGAAGCCTCCCACAGTGTTATCCCTTTGCAGTATGCAAATAGACTATGTTAAAGGTCTTTGAGAAATCCCCCAAATCTGTGTGTCAGGCATGGGCATGGTTTTGCAGGTGTTAGCACGTGTGCTCTGCGAGCTGGAGCTCTCCTGGCTCACCAGGTCAGTGTGTTTTTGTGGGTGCAGGACACTGCCCTTGACTAAAGTGAGCTGTTGTTGTTTCCAGGAAGAGTGGGATCAGAGCAACAGTGGGAGCACAGGATCCCAGCCGGCGTCTGGCTCCAGGCAGGGGTCTGGATCCAGGCCTGGCAGCTGTGGGAGAAGCAGCCAGTGTAGGCAATCAACCAAGGTATACCTGGTAGCGACGTGCTGATGTCCTGCACTTGCTGTTTATCAGAGGCATCCTTCTAACAACATGTTTCATGTGTGTCTACACATAGGGTGTGAGTGCATGTCAATTATGAAGGACATCGCAAAGACCTACATAATTCACTCATAATGTGTGACTTGGCTGCTGAGGGCTGTAGCTGTCCTTCAGCCTCAGGCAGTTGAGGGTTGCTGAGTGCCTTAGTATTGGGAAAGAAGTCCCTAGTCAGCTGTTTTAGTGCAGAGAAAATTATTTTTTCTTCTTTATTTGAAATCTTGGAGTATTTTAATTTTGGGAAATTAAGAGATGTCTGTAATTATTTTTTGGCAAGTCTTCTTTAGAAGTTGATATATGAGTGGACACCACATAGGTGGTGTTCAGTGGTGATCTTCAGCCATCGGTAGGACTAGATGGGGAGTTACCTCCCTGCTCTGCAAAACCCTGTAAGGACTTGCCTTAGGTTTGGTTTTAGGTCCATTCCTTGAACTTAGACCAGGAACCTTTTCTGCATGTTTTAGTCAGCCTCTGCCCTCCTCTCTCCTCTTGGAGTTGCTCTGATTCTGCCCACATGAGCACTGGTTGTGCCAGAAGTGGAAGACGGGCTCTGGGAGATCTGAGGCCAGCAGTCAAAGTCCTGGTTCATGCACACATCTTATCCATCCTGGAGTACTTGAGGAAATAGCCTGTCCTTCCTCCTGAGCCATGCTTTGGTGGGAGAAGGACCCACAGAATGGCAGTGTTGCTGGGAAGTGATGGTCCTTTTGGCTGGGAACAAGACTCAACATAGCATTTTTTGAGCACGGATAGTACTGTCTTCCTGGAAATGTCTATGTTTTTCTCACGAAAACATGCAATTTTCACCAAGGAAACCTTCTACTGGAGTTTTTCAGACAGTTCAGTATCTTTTTGGTTTTCTACCAAAGTGCAGCCGAGGGTTGTGGGCAGCTGAGAAGCAGGAAGGTGGGGGAATCTCTTCACACATAGACCTGAAAAATGGTGAAGAAGTAACACATGACACAGGATAATCTCTGAATTTATACCACTGACCACTTGACTCATTCTACATTAATGCCAAGCACAGTGATGAGCTAACACTGTTGCAGTCGTGCAATGAAGAACATGATTCTGTATTGGTAGTGGTTTGCTGGAGGATGGTAATGAGGAGGAACAAGAGGAACCGGTGGGATGCGGAGCTGGGCTTTGAAAAGCTGCTGTGTACATGCAAATGCTGACACTGTGGGGAATGTGCTGAAGCTGTATGCATGGGTGATCAGTCAGAGTCCATCTGGACAACAGGGAGGGCCATCCCTTTGTTTGTGCAGGTTGGGTGGTGATGAGCAGAGATGATGTGTGCTCACAGGGGCTGGAGGACACAGATTATGGACGTGCATTTAAACCATACCACGTGTAGGATCTGCTTTACTGGATCCCTGGTCTGAGTACTGACGTTGTTCTTGTCTGTGTGTCTCCCAGCCATCATTCATAGTGGCTTCATCATATTTCAGCTGTACTAAACCCTTTGCCATGAAAATGATTATCTGAAGCTGAGGATTGGGTCATCGGGACCTTCATGTTAAAACTGCTTATGCTTATAATTGCAGTCCTGGGGGAACTGTTAGCAAGTCACTTCTTTTCTTAAATACATGCAATTAGGATTATTTTTTCTTTGTCCCCAGACTTGAGAATTGGCTTTTTTAAAGTCTTATTGTTACATCTTGGTACCATGCTGTGAGCATTTTACCAAACACCCTGCCGCGCAGGTTCACTTGGGCAGAAAGCATGCTCCCAGCCATGTGAGTCAAGACAGAAACCGGATATAAAGACAGATCATCCATCAGAAGACTGAAAGGATGTCTCGAGATGACTGTAGTGACTCATGATTTAATGACAAGGTGTGTTGTCATTTGGCCATGGTGCTGTCTTTATGGAGCCTGGCTAATGACTGGAGCGTCTCCAAGAGGTCATGGGGACATGGTGTAGGAGGACCAGGTTTGGATGGGAGCATCTAACCGCTGCCTAGATGCTTGCATCCATCTGACGTCCTGCACCATCTGAATCATCTCTGCTATTTCCTGGGATCTGCAATTTCCAGAGCTGACCTGCCTGTGCTCACAGTAAAGCACTGGTGAGCTGATGCACCAAGGAGGTGAGAGGCAGCTGAGTGGGACAGCTCATGCTGCATCCGCTTCCACTGCAGATTAAGAGGTGTCAAGGCTCTCCATCACATCCAAACAGATTTCAAGCCGAGTGTCAGAGGGATGTTCAGCCTGATGTTTTGTTTCAGGGCTCAAGAAGCTCTTCAGAAGTCCAGTGCTAGCTGAATTTGGGCAGCAGATTTAGGATGAAGCCTTTTGCATTAGGAGCCCACCTTATCTTAAATTTTTACTATTGTGCATCTTAATTGCTGGTTTGTCTCAGCCTCATTGCAATCGGTTATGAGTTCCCGAACTTCGTCCCTGAGCCCATATACTTTACTCTTAGGAAATCCTATTTTAGCTGGCTCGCTGACAGGTACATAAATACCCCGTGTCATAGGAAATGGAAAGAGAAATTGATTTGTCTGCAGGAAGAGGTATTTCTTCTTTTGATAATAGCTATGAAGACCTGTACATGTGTATTTTCATTATACTGCATGAGGATGCTTCTGAAGATTTATAAAACTCATTTCTCCCCTAGGTAGGAGAAAATTTTGCCTCAAATAAAAAACTCAGCTTCCATAATTGAGAATTTTATATATTTCTGGTAGTTTCTGCGCAGAGACGTGTTGACCTGCAGATCCCCAGAGGTTAAAACTGTAATCCATAGAGACCGCTTGGAGGAGACAAAAGAAGGAGCAGCATGGCTGTGTTTGGAGCGTCTGGTGTCTAAATTGGTTGTTGTGCTGGGAATGGCTGCAAAGCATGACCATCTGTATTGTGCACCGAAGATGCACGTCCTGCTCATTGGGAAGAGATTGATCGCTTTATGGGCAGATGGAGGTCTGGGGCTTCAGTAAGAAATGGTCAAATCTTTATGAGTTTTTAGTGTCTTGGTTGTTACTAATTGTGTTTGAAAATGGCAGAAAGGGAAGGTGTCGTGATTAAAGTCCAGCTTAAGGGTAATTCGGAACCACACAGCCGCTCGCTCACTTCCCCACTTCTGCTCCTGGAGGGATGGGGAGGAGAATTGAAGGAATGTAAATCCCATGGGTTGACGTAAGAACAGTCCGGTAACTAAGGTATAATACAAAACCACTACTGCTGCCACCAATAATAATGATGATAAGGGAAATAGCAAGGGCAGAGGATGTAAAACTAAAAGGGGAAAGGAAAAAACCAATAAATGTAAGTGATGCACAATGCAATTGCTCACCACCCGGCGACCGATACCCAGCCCGACCTGTTGGCAGATCCCCTCGTGTTGACCAACCAGGTGGCTTTTGCTAAGTGTGTATCCCAGTGTTTGAAAGTCCCTCCACCCATTGCTCTCAGTGTAGTTTTTAACAGCCCTTCTGGGTAACTCCCCCCAGTTCTATAGTGGGCATGACCTGCTGTGCTATGGAATACCCCTTTGGCTAGTTTGGGGCAGGGGGGCTCTGTCTGCTTTCCATTGTGTTTGAAAATGGCAGAAAGGGAAGGTGTCGTGATTAAAGTCCAGCTTAAGGGTAATTCGGAACCACACAGCCGCTCGCTCACTTCCCCACTTCTGCTCCTGGAGGGATGGGGAGGAGAATTGAAGGAATGTAAATCCCATGGGTTGACGTAAGAACAGTCCGGTAACTAAGGTATAATACAAAACCACTACTGCTGCCACCAATAATAATGATGATAAGGGAAATAGCAAGGGCAGAGGATGTAAAACTAAAAGGGGAAAGGAAAAAACCAATAAATGTAAGTGATGCACAATGCAATTGCTCACCACCCGGCGACCGATACCCAGCCCGACCTGTTGGCAGATCCCCTCGTGTTGACCAACCAGGTGGCTTTTGCTAAGTGTGTATCCCAGTGTTTGAAAGTCCCTCCACCCATTGCTCTCAGTGTAGTTTTTAACAGCCCTTCTGGGTAACTCCCCCCAGTTCTATAGTGGGCATGACCTGCTGTGCTATGGAATATCCCTTTGGCTAGTTCGGGTCAGGGGTCCTCTGTCTGCTTCCTCCCGGCTTCCCGTGCCCCTTCTCACTGGCAGAGCATGAGACTGAAAAGTCCTTTATCTGGGTAACCATTACTTAGCAATAGCTGAGCCAGGTTAGCACCTCATCAGTGTGTTGTCAGCACTGTTCCCAGACTAAAGTCAAAAACACAGCACTGCACCAGCTACTAAGAAGGAGAAAAATAACTGCTACAGCTGAACCCAGGACAGTAGGATGGGGAATATATGCAAGCCACCTTCTCCAGGACTTTTGATCAGAGCAGGGCCATTTGGGCTGAAATACTTTAATCTGAATGTGCAAGATTATGAATAATCTAAATATGTGTAAGAAATGTTGGGTGAAATTGATAATGTGGGATTCTCTATTTGTAATGCGTTTACGTGTCCATCCTCTGTCAGTCCGAGTCAAGTCTGATTTCTTGAATGGTTTGAAAGGCAAAATCCAACCTGCTTTGCTTCTTTGCCTGTAAAGGGTGGAGAGGGCAGCCCTCTTTCTGTAGGGAGGACTTGTAAGCTGATGGCTGTAAAGGGACTATGAAGGGAGACTGTAAGGTATTTGCTTTAGATGCTTTTGCTCTGAGTCACCAGTTTTGCCAAAAGCAGCTGCAGAGGTAAATTCAAGGTGATTCTCAGTTTGCTGGAGGTTTCTCATCATTCACTCATGATTATACCATGATGCTTTTGGTTCTCAGGGTAAGGAATCGTCACCTTAATGCTGGTGAGAATATTAGTACTTAAGTATTAGTACCTAAATACATGTTTATTGTAGTACGTGTGAACTCATTTGCTGGTGTGCATGTCAGAGGTGGAATGATGCAGGCTTCTGACATCCCTCTCCTGTTGTTAGACTGAGGAGAAGTCATGCCACCATGACTCCTTGAAGAAGTAGGGCAGCTTTCGCCATCGTTATTGGTGACAGCAGGCTCTGGTAGCTGCAGGTGAAGAGCATCTCCATTGTTGGAGATACTCAGAAGCCATCTGAATGTGGTCAGGAGGGTTGGACCAGATGAGCTTCAGAGGTCCCTTCCCGCATTAAGTGGTCTGTGGCTCTGAAGCTGAGCATCTTCATGGCTGGGATGCCAGCTGCCCACTGGACCTTGGTGCATCTTGGAGGTGTGTAGGAGGTGTGTAGAAGGCCAGGGCTGGAGTTAGAGCTGAGCCTACATGTTGTCTGCTCCATGTGTCCACAGCTTTGTGTCCCCAAGGCTGAAACAGTGCCACTTCTTGCCTACATGGCATATTTTTGCAGTGGAAGAGGGGACTTTGCGTTGCAGTGAGTGTGGATTCACATAGGGTAGAGGAGCCCACATGCAGAGCTGGGACACCTCCATGACTGGCGGTGGGAGAGACTGTGCTGTGGTCTGGATAACACCATGTGCCTTCTGTCGAGTAACCACCTTTCCCTCCCTCCTAGAATGGCAACAAGGACAGCAACCTTGACATGCTGGGCACAGACATCTGGGCTGCCAACACCTTTGACTCCTTCAGGTAAGCTGGTTTTAAAATGCTTTGAGAGATGGATTGTGCCCTCTCTTAGCCTTTGCCCACGTGTCTGTCCTGCCAGTACCCAGGCACCAGTGAGAACCCTGCTGGTACTCATGTCACTGCTCCTCCTCCCCATCCCCATTTAGCCCATGGCACTAAGCACAGTCAATCTACTTAAAGCATCCTACGTGCTCAGGAGAGGCCGCTGGATGAGTTTGCAGTCCAAACATCTGAAGCTGGTACTGATATGATTAGTTGTAATCATCTGAGACTTGAAAGCAGCTCTGAGCTACTACTCGAGGATTTTACCCTTCCATTAATTGGAGGTGCAATCATGCGTTGGCTTCACAGCTGCTGGGAAGAGCTCTTCATCTGCCACTTCAGCATGGGGAAAGTGGTGAAATATGATTTCTGTTCAGTTTTATGCATCTCCCTGTGCATGGAGCAGTGCAAGAGTCTGCAGGGGTTGAGTTCCCACCTTGCTTCAGTTCACTTGCTTGAGTTCCCTTGCATCAGGCCGTTGGAGCAGACAGGCTGTGTAGGACCAGAGAGAGCATCTCCACTGCATGGGCCAGACCATTATTTGTTGTGATCATATAGAGAACAAGTATAGCTTGCAGGGTCTGTGCTGCATCATGCTGCGTCATACATCAAAACTAGGTGTTCAGTGCAAGCAACAGGAGCTCTGCACCTCCAAAAAACCCCAGAAGAGATGTAAAGAAACGTGATGCAGCAGTGTGAAAGTTGGAGGCATCCATGTTCTCTGCAGCACAGGGAGTGGTGCTTCCAGAAGTACCAGCTTTCCTCATTTGCAGGCTCCGATGTGCCCTCTGCTTTTCAGCTCTGTCGTGTTTAATTAGTAGCGGACTTTCTTTCCTTGTTTTTTTCCCTGTTTTTCTCTCCTAGTGGTGCGACGTGGGACTTGCAGCCTGAAAAACTAGATTTCACCCAATTTCACAGGAAGCTGCGAAACACCTCCAAACACCCGTTGCCTCACATAGACAGAGAAGGGTGAGTGCCGTGCGTGCGATACCATGCTCCCCAGCAAGGTCTTTAACTTCTCCTTTGCTGTAGGAACACTGGTTTGGTGGCATGGCTCATGTGGAGGACATGGGGAAGAGGTGCTGGACCATGTGAGGGGTTTGAGGATGCCAAAATCAGTGTGTCTGTCTCTTCTATCATCCAGTTCAGGGCTGGAGCAGAGTTGCACGCTTTATTTTACGTTTCTTGGTAGAATTGAGTCTTTACTATGCTGGATACAAGTCTTCTAGATGCAAGACTTGTAGATCTAAGCATCTCTGAATATTGGAGGAAAGATCCTGGCTTAGTGCTGATCCTGGTTACTGTTCCCACAAGTGTTAGGGCTTCTGCTGTTTTCCCCTACAAGAATTCAGGTAAGGAGAGAACATTGATGTGATCTGTGTGGATCCAAGTGTTCATCCTTCATCTGCTCCTTTTAGCCATAAAACTGTGAAAACATTAAACAGCTCCTTTTGGTGGTGACAGCCTCCAGGGGCTTCCACAGTGTTGCTGGATTCCCCTTTGGTTGTTAGCTGTTCAAGCCAAATAAATGCATACTAGCACCAAGTGGATAGCTGATGTTGTTTAGATGGACATCACCATTTCTCTGCAGATTGAGAAACAATCATAGTTTGGGTTTTCCTCTCCTTATCAGCGCATAGAGGAAGGACATGTTTTAGACATATTTTAGACCAGAACAGATCTAAAAGATGGGGTTGAGAAGATTTCAGGTGACATCTCATTGCCATGTTGTATGGAGGGATAGGAATCCTCTCTCAGAGTTGGTTTTGCCAAAGTACAGGCCAATACCATGTGCAAGTCTTGTCCAAATGATGTGCAAGTAACTCCAGGCTAGCAATCCCACTCCAGCCCGGATTCAGCATCTCTATTTACAGGTGTATAAACAGCAATTTTCAGAATATTTCAGACAATATAACCCTTGATTTCTGAGTAAGTGCCTTAGTCATGTTTATTCCTATTTCTACAGATGGCTTTGAAAAATGAGATGAAGCGCCCTCTATAGAATAAGATATAATGTGCTCCGTGGGGATTGCACTTGCCAGATGATCCTACCAGCGACATCTGCTGTGTATAGGGAGGAAGCAACAGGCTCTGCTTTATGGTCTGCCTGCGGTTCTTGGTGTACTGTGACTGCCCAGGGTGCAAACAGGTAGAGAAAGCAGTATGGAGGCGAGATAGTAAATCACTCCTAAATACTACAGCTGTAAAAAAGGAGTAGGAATTAATGTATATGCAGGAAAGTTAAACGGATGCTGTCAGCACAAGCAGCGCATCTCCCAAAATGCAAATCATACAGATAACCTGCACTGAGTTTGGTGGTATGCTGAATAATCCAAGTGGAGTGGTTAAGGAAAACCAGGGAACTGTACTTCATTTCTGACATGGATTTGTCCACCTTTACATTCCAGCGTTAGCTCTTGCTGTGCTTTTACTCTTCCAGTTCAAACAACCTTTTGTAGCTGCCACTTTCTCTTCATTCCAGGTATCTGTCAAGCCCATACATAGGATCACAGAACAGTTTGGGCCGGAAAGGACCTTAAGATCATCCAGTTCCAACCCCCTGCCATGGGCAGGAACTCACACTAGACTGTGTCGCCTAAGGCTCTGTCCAGCCTGGCCTTGGCATCACTGTAGTTTCTCTACCATCTCTTTGAAACATGACTGCCAGAGCTGCCTAGAGTCCTGTGCTTGAGGCTCAGCCCTGCTGCCTCTAGAGGAAAGCTGCCTTCATCCCCCCAATCCCTGCCTCCTCATCCCCTGCCTCATACATATATAAATATACCTATTTTTCACATAAATATATTTTTAATATATATAAACACACACTGTATTTTTGCCTTTGTAAATCAAAGTCACTGTTTCACCTATGAGGGAAAGTCAGTTGTCGAACACCTCTTATTTCCCATAAATCAATTAGCATGTTAATTAAATTCAGTGTTTCCATTCAGCTTGCTTCTTTTTTTCTTGAGCCTGGTGCTTTAACACATGCCATTTTTCCAGATTCCCCCTTTCCTCTCACTGTTTGCTGTAATTCCACCAAGATCTATTGTTCTCTCACTTACAGGCGATGATTACCTGGGTCTGCTACTATAAGAATTTCTTTCTGGTACATGGTGTTTAACAATATCTTGTCACTAATTGACAAAAAAACAAATCATCATCCTTGCATAATAAACAGAGATTGCCTCAATTGTTTATAGATGCAGAAGGAACATACTTACTGACCATTTTTTTTCTTCTGTGTCATTACAAACTTTCTGCATCCATCCAGTAATTATCATTGGATTGTTTTCTTTTCTTTTCTTGCTACAAGAAGGTCTTTCAGCTGCCAGCTACGTGTTTGGTCTGTCAGTGCTTGACTTCCCACCCCAATATTTTGCCTTTCAAATTGTGTGTTTGTATTTATAACGATTGCTGTTTGCTGTCTTGAGATGTATGTTTGTGCTTGTTTGAGGACACCTTTCTCAGCAGGGAAACTGGAGCTCCTGCAGAGGAGGAAGCATTTTTCCTTCCATTTTTGTGTCCGTATTTGTTTTTTTTCAGGTGGGCTGTGCTTTCTATTTTGCTTGGTCTGGGAATTGAATCACCCAACGCTACTGCTCAGGACTGCCTTTGGTTTTCTCACTGCTAACAAGAGCATTTGAATGCCATGGCGGATGGTGCAGGGAGAAAGGACTGAGAAAAGCATTTAATTTTGTATTAACAGCTTTGTGCCCATGTGGGAGTGTTTTGGAGGCACAGCATACTCGCTTCAGAGAGCCTCTTTGTTTACATGAGGGTCCTTTGCAGAAAGAACTAATCTTCCCCATGTGCCTTAATAGAAAATTAACTTTGGCTCCAGTGAGGTTTCACATGGTTTTGTTTGTTTTCTTCTTCCTCCAGGCTTGGAAAAGGGAAATACGAGGATGGAGACAGCATCAACTTGAACGACATAGAGAAAGTCCTTCCAGTGTGGCAGGTAGGTGATGAAGACATCTCCTGCCTGTGGTGCAGTGGAGACCAGCAGCTCTCTGCCTTACCTTTCCTTAGGAAACCCTCCACAAAAATGGGAAGGCTGCTGGTCTGGATGTGCTGACTATGGTCCTTTGGGGTTTGTGACGGAGAATTATGCCTGTGGTGTCAGCAAGCCTTGCTGTGAGCCTTAGTGCTGAGCAAGGGCACTTACCATGTAGACTTGGTTGGGAGGTAAAAAGTTGAGGTCAATATATGTATACGCATATATATATATATACATATACACGTACACAGGGCTCACTTATTTTAGGAAAGGAGATTCTGAAAAGCATCTACCCTCTTGACAGCTGCAAAAGAAATTGCTGCCAGGAAGCCAGAAGTGCCGTTGTGCTGACCCAGGTGTTTCCTCTGCGGGGTGTGCATGTGTTTATTTGCAGTGCTCATCCACTCATATGTTTTCTTCAGCCTCTTCCTTCTTCACATCTCTCGTTACAGCCCAGCTTCAGTAGTTCTGGTTAAATGACCTTTGATGCTCGGTGATGGGGAATGGCAGGGTGAGACCCTCAGTTAAAAAGTCCAATTGAATAGGTCAATATGTCAGCATCGTGTAATTTTCTGGTTTCCAGAGCCCTTAAAGGAGCTGAGTGTCCTGGGCTGGGCAAGTTTCTGAGGATACGTAGAGTGTTTCTGCTCAAGTGTCCT